GTGCATATTTATTGGACAAAAATTGCAACCCACGTTTTCAGAATGTCAGCGATAAAAAATAAAATATTTGATCTACAAATTTAAAAAAAGCTAACACTCGCAATTATGTTCTTGTTCCCCAATTATACTAACAGACTTGGTATATACTATTTCCAAATCACAAATTTGACATTTTCAGTAGTAACAGCAAAACTACCGATCTTTTGTAAACATAAATGCCAAATTATCATAAATAATTGTAAAGAATATGTATATACAATATAATACACCAAAGCAGCCGTATAAAATGTATCATTATTCAAATATTAAATGGTTCGAATAATTGCAAAACGGAAAACCTAGAAAAAACACTCGAATCAATTCACATACATATAATTTGAAAATTATTTACAGATCTAAACACATACGTGTTTACTTAAGCCTTTTTGTTTTAAGCATACGTCTTTGTTGGTCAAGCCGTTCTTGTTCTTCGTCTTCTTTTCTTCCGATTTTGGAAGAGCGCGCTTCTTCATTGAAAACTTCTACTGCAGATGCTTCCATAAGATCATCATCATCGTCATCATCGAACCGACGAACAGGACGATTGCGTCTGAAAATTGATTGAATAATAGACGATACATTCATTTCATCAATATGATCTTCACGGCTATTTTTTATTTGCTGGCGTTTAGCGGGACGAGACGGCTCAGGTGGAAAATGCATAGTTCGCTTCTTGGTCATTTGTTGCGGAGAAGGTGACGGAGGATTATTAGTTAATTTTTTGATATTGGAAGGACCACGAACAGAAGATTCTTCATGTCCTATGCGTTTTCTGCTCGTGGATTGTAATGGTTCACGAATAGGTAATCTCTTGTGTGTGGCATGTATTTTATCTCTAACTTGTGGTGACTCACGAACAAGAAATTCACGTGGCGTACGCTTTTCACCCCTAGCATTAGATGTGCTATGTGATTCAGAGATTGATTTGGAAAAAGCTTGGCGAGTGTCCGAATTCGCTTTGGATGAAATAATAGCTTTCTTCTTCTCAATTTTCTCAATTGCTAGGCGATTTATTTGACTTTTAGTTGCCAACTGCGAGGTGGATTTATTTGCAACAAAATTGGAATTCTGGACTCGTGTTGGCTTATTTA